TCGAAGCCACTTTGGGGCTGTCATTAGACTCAGGCCTGAAATGGTTTCATAAAAGGCTCTTTTTTTTTTTTTTAATAGCAATTCAGAACATGTCAAAAATTGAGGATAACAAAACCAAGAAAGGGGAGATTCTCTTCTCCACCCCTGCAGCAGTTACCCCGGTCACCCCTGAGCTGGGGTGTCAAGGGATAGGGCCAACAGATGGTGGGATCCCTGCAAGCTCACGTGCTGTGCAGCAGTGATGTTGGGCCGTGCTTCTCAGCTCCCCACTGCTCGGTGCCGCAGACACCTGCACCCCAAAGGCCTCAGGACTCTGTGAGCCTATCCGAAGCAGCAGAGGACGGTCTTGTGTTCACTATGGCTATAGGCAAAGAGCATTCTCTTCTAAGCCCAAGTTTGGGTGGTTAGAAATACAAGCCTAGCAGGTAACTCCTTGCTAACTGGATTCCTGCTTTCACTGGGTGCCTGGCATTATTTGCCAAATCTGTCTGTCTGTCCATCTGTCTATCTCACGTAGTTACACAGTGCTTACTGTGTGCCTAGCATGTTCACAGCCTTTTCTGTGTATTAATTCACTTAAATTCACAGCAGTCTTATGGAAGAATCTCGTACTGTCTTCATCTTACAGATGAAGAAACTGAGGCAAAGATACAAAATTTGCCCAAGGTCACGTAGTCAGGAAGTGACAGAGTCTGACTCTGAACCCACAAACACCAGACCCCAGAGCTTGGCTTGGTTACACCCATACCATATGGCCTCCCCTGTCTATGTGGGGCCATACCCCAATCTCATCTGTGTGACCCAGCAGGCGAGATCTGCTGGGGGAATGCGGCAGGTTCCAGGAGGGGAGGATCCAGCGCCCAGGTGTGAGGAGGCCTTCCTAGAGTTGGCATTCCTGACCATGGGAATGAAAACAAACCTGGGGACAGTTGACATCTGCCACCTCCCCATTATAACCCCGACTGGCACCTGCCACCGAGCTCAGCAAATGGCGCTGTGCCCTCAAAACTGCCCTCTTCATCACCAGCAGCTGCCTTGTGGAAGCCAGATAGGCTCCCTAAGGGGCCCGTGGCCGGCCCCACTGGCAGATGGCCTGTGAACTGGGGATTTGGGGTTGCGGCGGCCGCCAGATCACACAGTGTGGCAGGCACATTCTCAGAAAATGAGGGCTCAGGGAAATGCACCAAACAGGAACCGAACAGCCAGGGAAATTGGGCCAATTCTGCTCTGAGAACAAATGTCCGGTTCCAGGCAAGTGGCTTCTGGGAGCCTGTGGGAGGCAGCCACCCCCTACCCTCCACACCCCGCTCCGCTGGTGTAAATGCGCCTGGCGCCCAGGTTCCTCAACCGGCAGCAGCGGCCAGCGAGAATTGAATAACATTATTCTTACGGAGAGTAATAACTTTTCCCATTTTCATGTAATAAAAAAGAATGACTCAATTTAAGGAGAAACAGCGTATCGTGGAACAGAAGTTTGGCAAAATTGTGAGGGTGATGCTCCGATTCCTTTGTTTATTCATTTGCACACTCGTCTAACACGGAGTCCTCCACGTGGACCGGGCGCCGTGCTGTGGGCACCTTTCCATAGTGGAGCAAAGCCCCAGTGTCATGCATCTCCTGCTGTCATGGGGGAAACAGCCAGTGCACCAACAGGTCAGCGTGTTAGGTGACGATGGATGCTGTGGGGAGGGAAGGACTGCAGGGGAGGGGAGGGGGCAGAAACCAATGGTAGAGGACCCTAGTTTAGATACAGTGACGTTTGACAAGGACGCACACTGCAAATATACTGGTTAAGAGCATTCTAGAAAGAGAGAACTACAGGTGCAAAGACCCTGAGGCAGCAGCATGCTTGCAGTGTCTGGCACAGGCAAGCCTGGGAAGCGCTGGACGCTCTCCAGCTTCCCTTCCAACACGGTGACATTATAAGCGTGGTCTGGATAGGGATGTTTTCTGGTTTAAGGCGTGGCCATCTAAGAACTGGCTGCTGGGGGGGTCCTGGGTTTGTGGGGGGTGAGCTGTGGTTCTGCTGTTGGAGCTTTGGTTCAGGATGTCCCTGAAGGTGGGAAGATGAGAGGCAGCCAGCCAGGCCCCCCGCATTGTCTGTTTGCCCCCTGGGTGGGGGTTGGGAAGAGTCATTCATCCAGTATTTGCTGAGTGACCACAAGGTGCCCCTCAGAGGGCTGGATGGAGGGAACAAAGATGAATCAGATACAGTTCCTGTCCGCCTAAGCCCCAGCATGGCGGAGCAGGGGCCTGGGTATGGCCGGTACTCAGGTGTGTGGGTACAGAGAGCGCACGGGGGCAGCGTCCAGGGCTCTGCCTTCACTGCCAAACCCTGGGAGGGGCCATTGGCGCCTGAGAGCAGCTCATCTCCCACAGCTCTGTGTCCTGGAGGGTCCGAGGAAGGAGGGTGGAGTACAGAGGGAGGGGCAGGCCCAGCCACATAATCGGTGGGGCCCAGTGCAAAATGAAAATGCAGGATCCTCATTTCAAAAAGCAGGAGAACGGTGCCATTAAAGGTACATAAGCATTTTCCTTTTCCCTGAGGTCGCTCTCAGGGTGTCCTGGTACTTTTCCTTTGCTACTGAAGGTCCGTCTGAGTAAGGAGAAATGAACACTTTAAATTATTAGCATGAATTTTACCTTTCATCTTTATACTTGCAATGCCAGTTTGAGATGCAGGTATCAGAGCATTTAACTTGTATGTATTAAGAAATTACACAATTTGTATTTTGTGTCCCATTTCTAGAGGGTGCCTTGAGTGGGCCAGGACAAATTCAAGCCAGACTCGCAAAGTTTGGAGATGGAGGGAGGGAGGAAGGGCAGCCTCTCATAAGTGCCTAGGGTCTCCCTATCCCCACGATGCAGGGCACACACCCATGAACCTTCAGGCCTGACAGCTCCCACAGCGTGCGGGACCTCCACACTCTGCCCTGGCCAGAGATGGGATCTAGGGAGGGGCAGGCAGCATCGCAAGGATCTTTTTTTTTTTTTAAGATTTATTTGTTTATTTGAGAGAGAGCATGCGTGAGCGGGGAGGGAAGGGCAGAGAGAGAGGGAGAGAACCTCAAGCAGGCTCCCCGCTGAGCACAGAGCCCGACATGGGGCTTGATCCCATAACCCCAAGGTCATGACCTGGGCTGAAATCAAGAGTTGGGTGCTTAACTGACTGAGCCACCCAGGCATCCCTCAAAGATCTTTAAACCTCTACCCCAGGATGCGCTTGAACCTGGGTCGAGGTGGACAAGAGGCTTCCTCCTGCCTAGCCTCGGCCCCCAGCTGCCACCCACTAGACATACTTCGGTGATACCAGCCCAGGAGCAGGGAGCACCAGGGGGCGGGGGGTTGCTGCTGGCACCCTGCTCCACCAGGGACGCCATGGGCACGTGTGCCCCCCTGATGCTCATGCCCAGGCCCCTACCGGGATGGAGAGCTGCCACAGCTGCAGCGCAGGGGTGAAGAGCAGGGAGGCCAGCCTGTCTTGGGAGTGTCAGGGGCAAGAGAGCATGCTGCTGAGAACATGTCCTGGGGAGGCAGGGGGAGACCTGACTCTCCATGACTCCAGCCCTATTTATCAAACACAGATTCCAGGATAAAATCAAGACTTTCAGAATGGCAGCATAGAACATTCAATCTCTCAAGCTTCTGAGCCTAGGACCCCATATGACTGCATGGGTCACAGGCCCGTGAAGCTGGCCCTGGGGAGAAGAGTGAAGGTCATTGTTCAGGTCCCTTGGCGTTTCTGGGCCTCAGTTTCCTTGAGGCCAGACAAGGTCACGGTGTGCCTGAATCAGGTAACAAAAGAGGGGCTGACGGCAAGGTCCCATGCGGACGGGGGCTGGGAGCACAGTGGGGACCAAGGCCTCTGCTGGTCCAGCCTCTTTATCGCGGGCTCGTGGTGATTCTGCTTCTCTGTCTCCCCCGTTCTCCTGCTGCCAGCAGGCTTCCTCTGCTTCCTTAGGCTCTTCCCCAGCATTTAGGGAGCACCTACTGTGTGCCAGCCACATGCTGAGTGCTTGGCACACCGCTGGTCTTCACTGAGCGCCGTGCTGTGGTCGGGACAGCAGCATGTATGAATGCTCCCCGTGTGCCGGGCGCCACGCTACATGCCTTACCCACGCTGACAGAGGGACTGCTCCAACAGCAAACACTATGAGGCAGGTGGTAGTAGTATTAGTCCCCGTCTGCACATGAGGAAACTACGATGGAACGTGGTTCAGTGACTGAGGGAACAACTTTCAGGCAGCATAGCTGGGGCTTGAACCGGGCAGTGGGGGCCCCAGATCCCCCACTCTTCTAGCCCTGCATTACCCTACCTCCCCATTGACTCTTGGTTTCTGCACCCCATCCCTCTCCCTGCCCATGGCCCCCTGGGGCTCCCCCCCTCTCCTCTCTGTGGAACACAGCATTTCAGCTTCTCCGGCTTCCACCACACCCAGCAGAGGGACTCCCGCCGGCCCACGTCACCTTCTCACCTGGGCTCTGTTGCTGCTCAGCTTTCCCAGCAGCCGCCTGCCTGCCATAGGGCGGGAGCCCACACCCATCGGGGCAGCTGTGGCTGAGCAGAGGAGCGGGGTCACGTGACACAGAAGGAACTTGGCTGCCCCTGGCGGCTCCTTGAGCAGGGGGGGTACTAGAAAGTGGTGTCCCTCCGCTGGGCTGTGGGTATGGGGCACCTAGGGCCTGCGCACCCTGGCCTATCCTATTGAGACCCAGAGTTGGTGCCTCGTCTGAGGGAAGAGCTGGCCCGTCCTGACCCTTTGTCTAGGCCAGGCTTCTGTCAGGAAAGCCTTCCGTTCCAGAGCCCAAAGCAGGGAGCCCAGCTGACAGGGCAGGGCAGGCGCTCCTCCTGCCTACACATGGAGTGAGCCCCTGGAAGGGGCGGGGGGCTGCCTGTGGCGGGGGTTCCCTCGCTGCCTTCCTGGCCCAGGTGCCACTGTCCCTGTGATCTGTAGGTTGCCCCCTTTCACCCCCTCTTTCTCTTCCTCCCACACATACAGAGCTCCACCTGGAAGGGAACTTCTTGCACCGCCTCCCCAATGAGGTCAGCACCCTGCAGCACCTCAAGGCCATCGACCTCTCCCGGAACCAGTTCCGTGACTTCCCCGAGCAGCTCACCACCCTGCCAGCACTAGAGACCATCAACCTGGAGGAGAACGACATCGTGGGTGAGCAGCCCCGGCCATGTGGTCCCTGCACCTCCCACTGTCTCTGTCTGCAGCTCCTCCCTCTGAGGGGGACATGGGGCTCTGGGGTCGGACCTTCACAGACGTGAGGGTAAGGGTGAGCTTTCTGGTCTGAGACACCTGAGCACAGGGCACTGAGCCTGGAAAGGGAAGCGTTCTGAGGCCCTGCCGCCTGCTGGGGCTGGGTTGGACAGCTGCTTTCACCTGGCAGGTCGAAGGCCTTGGCTTCCTCACGGCTTGCCCTGACCCAGCACGCCGCGTGGGCCTACAAGCTCTGTCTCGGTCCCAGAAGGCTGCCTCCCAGACTCTCCAGCTGGGACCCTATATCCATGTACAGTCCCCTGAGGCCACTAGGCAGCCGTATTCAGAGCAGTGTCTCCTAGCTTTCCAGTGCACATACACGCTCCCTCCGGGAACCCGAGGGTCTCCCGTCCCGGGCTCAGAGTGCCTTCCGCCTTCTGCAAAAGGCAGGCCCTGAGAGTGGCCCTCCTTCTGAGGCATTTCCACCTGAGCACCCTCCCCTGCTGCTGACTGATCTCCCCAGACAGAGGCAGCACCCCCAGGGCCCCTCTGTGCACCTCCTCCTCGGCTTCCTCCCCCAGCCGCCTTGGCTCCCTCCGCAGCCCGTCTTCAAACCCCGTTCGGTGCTGTCTCAGTCGTCTCTGATGTTGACAGTGTTAGTAACAACCCCCTTCAGTGCTGCTGTTAGGGTTGTAATTGCTTTCACAGCCTTTATGCCATTTGACTAAAAGCAAGAGCTCTCCAGCGGCTTGGAGCTGGATGGAGAGTACCTGTCGCCTGGGGCTGGGTTGGACGGCTGCTTTCACCCGCAGGGGGCGCCGAGTGTCCCATCTGTGCGCTGGCCCTGGCTGAGGGGGCGCGGGACCAGGTAACCTCTGAGGTTTGCGATCCATTCTGTTAGAGAGGAGTAAACTGAGGCTCAGAGGAGTCACGAGCGCGCATCAGGTCACACAGGGAGATGGCAGAGGTGCCAGGACGAGTATATGTGACTCTCAGACTCGGCCCTATGCCTAGGAGGAGGTTCCTTGTGTGGCCTCTGGGAAGGCCCCGTGGGTGGGCCTGGTTTGGTCTTTTCCCTCCCAAGCCCAGGATCCCTGAGCGCCTTGCCCCTGAGTTGGCCCCCCGTCCCTTGAGCCCTTGTGCTGTCTTTAGCTGGAAGGAGCATGCGCAGAAGTGCCTTTCCACCATGAGGCCCTCCCTCCTGCGCTGCCGTCACTGTCCGGGGTCTGGCCCTGAGCCCTTCATTCTCGGCCAGGCCTTCCTTGCTGAGCCTTTCCTCCCGTGCCTCCACTTCCTTCTGCTGCTTCTTTGAATGCGGCAGTTCCCAAGCAGGGGCCACAGCAAGCCGATGCTGAGCCCAGAGCTGGGACTGTAGCTGCAGGCAGGCGGGTGGGGACAAGCGCTGGCCATTGGCCTCCCCACTTCCCAACGGCAGCCTTAGAAGACCCATGTCACCCCTCTGAGCCCCAGCTTCTTCTCAGCTTTTAAAAGATTTTATTTATTTATTTGACACAGAGAGAGACACAGCAAGAGAAGGAACACAAGCAGGGGGAGTGGGAGAGGGAGAAGCAGGCTTCCCGCGGAGCGCGGAGCACAGAGCCCGATGCGGGGCTCGATGCGGGGCTCGATCCCAGGAGCCTGGGATCATGACCTGAGCCGAAGGCAGATTCTTAACGACTGAGCCACCCAGGCGCCCCTCTTCTCAGCTTTTATTTTTATTTTTTTTAAAGATTTTATTTATTTATTTGAGAGAGCGAGAATGAGAGAGAGAGAGAGCATACGAGAGAGGGGAGGGTCAGAGAGAGCAGCAGACTCCCTGCTGAGCAGGGAGCCCGATGCGGGACTCGATCCCGGGACTCCAGGATCATGACCTGAGCCGAAGGCAGTCGCTTAACCAACTGAGCCACCCAGGCGCCCTCTTCTCAGCTTTTAAACCGAGGTTCTCCCCCACCCCCAGCCCAGAAGGGAGCTGGGCCCCAAGCAAAGGAGCAGGGCGCGTGGGCCCCTGTGCTGGCTGCTGTAGGAAGCGGGGCACACAGCGTGGGACAGATGCCACAATCCTCCCCCTCCCACAAGGCCGACGACATCCCTTAGCAGCAACAGTTCCCACAACAAAGATGGGCTGTTTTGACTCATTCTCTTTATAGATATCTCTTCCTTTCTGTAGAGTGAGGTAATGACTACATGTGGGAGCCTCTTACAGTTTACCAGGAAGGCTCAGGCACAGTCCCACGGCCCATCTGGTAGACGTAGAAACCTAGGCTCTAAGATTTCCCCTCACCTTTGTGGCCAGGTGCCTGTCTACAGCTGGACGGGTGAAAGAGACATGTCAAATCCTGGGCTATTTCCCGCCAGGTCCACCTGTAGCAGAGGTGCAGGCCAGCCTGGCCAGGCACGGGGGACGTGGAGATGCTGGGGACTGGCCCTGTGCAGCAGAGGCTCCCGGAGGCGCTTGACTGCTCCCAGGGCCCGCTCCACACTCCGCTGCAGGAGGCCTTGGCCATTCTCCCACACGCCCCCCATGGAGAGAGGCGTATCCTGTTCCCTTGCTGGGGTCTCCTCGCTTCCATTCTCTGCCTCTCCCTGATCCATGCTCATTACTCGGATTGCTTCTAACTCCCAAAGCCATGGCAGACCCGGTGCCCGCCTTCCTGGCCTGGCTGCATGGAGGGGGCCATGATCACAGCATAGAGGGTGAGGGCTGCACCGTCCTTCATTATGGAAATAGCTTTGCCCTTGTCCCAGCTGTAGCTCATCTCCTGCAGGATCTCATTGGGAAAATTGTAGTAGGAGCTTAGGATGCCTTAAGAGTGGCTTCTTTTTCCCCTTCAGAGCCCACAGAAGGTGTTGGAAACATTTTTTTTCCCGAGAAATAAATCTGAGATGCATGAGTTGCCTTAAAGCTGTGGTTCAGCGGAAAGAAAACAGGCAGCTCTGAAGCAAGCCCCCACATGCATCAGAAGGAGACTCAGTCTGAAGGGACTGCCCCGAAGGATGCCTCCAGCCTGGCCCCAGGGAGACCAGGAGGCTTGCAGCATCCTGGGAAGAGGCCCAAGCAACTCCATTCTCTTCTGCTTTCTCAATAGTGCTGCTACCCCATCTTCCTCCACTCTGGGCCAGAATGGGGGCTCCAGTTCATGGAGGGGAGAGGGGAGGGGGCCTCACTAGGGTGTGTAGCCTGGGAGACACAGGGACGCTTGCGTCTGCTTTCTGGTACCAATCACCAGCCGGTGCTGGTGCCGGTCCTTGGGGCTCACCGGGAGTTGACTACCCTCACTCAGGTCATGCATCTAGGTAGCGCTGGTGGCCCCATGGCTGCAGCTGGTACAGACAGTCCTCTGGTCTGTGTGCGCAACCGTCTCCCTGTTCTCATCGCGGGAGCCACCTTGCTCCCTGCCTCCACCCAGCCCCGAGCATGGCGTCTGCCCTACCGCAGGTGCTCGGCTGCTTGGAGCCCCGAGCGAAGCAGGAGTTCATAAGGCCCAGAGGCCCTCTGAAATGACTTGACACACAGGAGGGCAGACTGTGTCTGGTTGCCGGCGGTGCCCCACTGGTGAGTCATGAAGTCAGATGCGAAGGTTGAGGCAAGCGGGTGAGGGAGTGTGTCCCCTCTAGTGTGGTAACATTGCTTTGTGACTTTCATTTCAGTTTTACCTACACGCACAGATCTATGTACTGGGTTGTGATGTAAGAACGTAATTCTTACTGTGGGTCACAATGAAGAAATATCAAAAGCCGCTCCCTTGAGATGCCCTGCAGAGATGTGGGGTCTGTTCTCGGCCAGCCTCACTGCGTGTCCCCCGCAGCGCACACTGCCAGCCACACAATACGTTCTTCCCTCCTCTCTTCTCCATCCGTGTCTCTGTCCATCATGGTCACCACCTTCTGCATCCTCCTGGTGACTGGTGGGGGTGGAGTGAGGACGGGCAGCGAGGCCTCGGCCGAGGGGAAGAGCTCGCCACCCACCTGACTGTGGAGTGAGGTAGATGACCAGGTCAGTGTCCCTGACTGTTTATCCCTGCCCGAACGGCCTGCACGCTCAGTCTGAAAGTCCTTCCCTGTGTCTTACCATTTTCTCTGCCTGTGGCCAACCCCATCCCCGACCCGAGTCTGCAGGTCTGGGCCAGGTTTAGGTGAATGTAAAACAGTGTAGATCAAGGGGCCTCGCCCCTCCACCAGCTGGTCCCCTGGCACACGCAGCAGCCGATGCCCCCATCTGGCTGGGAGGCTTCCTGGGTCCTGGGGACAAGCCACCAGGACAGTCCTGGTAGGCCATGGTGTCCTTGTGAGGTAGGGCTCCCAGGAGAGCCTGGGAGGGGCTTCAGAGGAAGTGACATTTAGTCTGACAAGAGGACATGATGGGTCACCTGTCTTGCGGAAAATTCCAGAAGCCGGGTCTCATCCCAGCAGCTGCCGTCTGTGACTGGGAGGTGGAGGCAGAAGCCACATGAAGTTCGCATTAGAACTCGATCCCGTGTAGCATTTCACCAGACTCCTGGAATATGTGGGGGTGAGGAGAAAATCAAGTACTTCGGAGACTTCATTTTGCTAAGCAGGGGGCTCTTTCAGTTAATCTAGAATTAATTTTCCATGACCCTCAACTCCCTGGGGCTTTTCCCAGTGTTCCAGAGAGAGCCAGAGATCATAGGAAAACAAGCTCTTGCTAAGAATTTAATAGAGCAATAGCACTCTGAAAAAGCAGAGTGTATCCTATAGAGATGCTTTAGGCTGTATGTACTTGATCCTGCGCCGTGCTGTTTCACTTCTTACTGTGGAAGCTCATATTTCTTCAAGTGGGGATCTCAGCAGCAGCGCCTGAGAACTTGTTAGAAACGCATATTCTCACAGGGCGCCGGGGTGGTGGGGTGGCTCAGTCAGTTAAGTGGCTGACTCTTGATCTCAGCTCAGGTCTTGATCTCAGGGTCGTGAGTTCAGGGCTCCACACTGGGTGTGGAGTCTAT